TTCCATAATTGGTCATGTATATCAGCTGAGTAAAAACTGATAATATGCAGAAAAAAATTCCTTTAAATCAAAGCTAGATTTTAAAATAAGAAATGCAATGATGGCAGCAAAAGTGTTAAAACAGGATTTGAGCAGCTTTGGAAATTCTCTCTTCATATGGTTTTTCATAATAAATACATATGATCTAAAAAAAATAGCAAATACATCTTTGATGTGTCAAAGGTGTATCTGATGACTCAAAGGGTGACAATTTTTTTCTCAAGCAGTTTATCTATAATATAAGCACAAAAAACAGTTTAAACAATTATCCTTTCAGAGCCCTCCTTTCACTTCACATTCACAACTGCACTGGAAACTGAAATCTTGAAGCCAGTGGAACATTTAAAAGTAGGAGGTAGAAAACATGAGTCCATTTTCTGTCAACCAATACTTTGAGTTCTGTACATCGAAAATCTCAGATTTTACAGCACCATGCATCGACAGCAGTTGCCCAAGCTGCCCCTGCCAGAATTGACAATAAGGTGCCAGAATTTACTAAATTCTATATCAAAACATTGTTTTAACAATAAGTTATATCACTGCAGAACAACAATATGAGCACATGATTATTTTAAGTATTAAAAACAAACTCTCACCAAACCAGAAAATCCAGCAGTATAATTGTAAAGCATTAGTTTGGGAGAAAAACAAAGCAATTTGTGATTAGTTAAATTAGACCCAGGTCTGTTCATAAAACATCACATCCTTCTGATTGGTCAAAAGTAGGCTCCTCCCAAGAAACGTTTAAATTGTGGGAGAAGACCAGAGAAAAGGAGTGAAGGATAAGGCTCGGTATAGATAGCACTTAGATCTCAGATACTCAGCAAACTGCTGAGAACAGGGAGAGAGAGCATGATCTGCTGAGAGCATGGTCTGAGAGCAGATGAAAATGTGGATAGAACCTTTCCATGGTACAGAAATTATTAAGTCCCCAATTATTCTAACTTGTCCTCAGTTGTTATTGTATCAATCAGTACAGTGTGGTACCATGATAAACTGTATTCTTTTGTAAATAAACTGTATATACTGAACGAGTTGAGTGTGGAGGCATATTTCCTAATAACCTATTGTATACCTAGAATGTCTCAGGTAGTGCTAATTCAAGAAAGCCACTTGTGGAGATGGAGGATACAGTCAGGAATCTTCACTATAACATTGATTTAATAAAACAACATATTTCACATATTTAAGTTGTCATCTTCTGGTTGAAAAGTAATTAGGAAGATAGAAGGGAGTTCAAAACAACGTTCAAATATAGCACAGAGTTTGAAAAACTAAAAGTAGTGTAATGTAACTGTGAGGAGAACCAGAGGTAGAGAGTCTGGAATAAACTCTCTATCACTTAATCGGCTACAAATTGGTAAGATCTGTCCCAGAGTCATAGGACAACAATTTTGTGAAGATCAAGATTTATGATCCCAATCTATGTCAGGATGCTGACACCAGATAGGGATGAGTTTTGTGCCCTATCACGTGTATACAAAATCTATAGGAGGGCTCTTCAACGATAAATATTTCAAAGTTAATAAATGAATGGAATCCAGATATAGAATATACAAACATTATTTATTAGATTAAAGCAATAAATTATATACAGGATTCTACAAACAATATAAGATGGCAAAAGTATCATATCGAACTAAATGATCTAATTTCTAAATTGTGTATTCTGAAACTGTGTCTTCTTTTATCTGTTTTTATCTTCATGACTGGGTGCATAGATAGACACTGGGCATTTCTACATCATCTTTATTCGTAATATCCTATAGGCTGATAAGCGTTTCAGGCATAATCTGTTAGCACGACTTATGGGATTTCTTGTAGGTGGTGTTGACACACATACATTTCGTTTAAAATTACTTGTTTACAGTTAAAATTTTTTTACTGTTAAAATACCATTATAGTTTAAAATATATTTACAATTAAAAGTACTATTACAGTTAAGGTTTCTTGACTTAACACCGAACATCTAGCATATACAACACCATGCTCAGAGTGCTAATTAAGAGAGCCTTCAAACACACTTCTATTCCTATGGACAAAAGAAAGGAACTTAAGTGCATCTCTCAAGTGCCGTCATTGGCATAGCCAGAGTTTTGTTATGGGGTGGGCCTAGTAGAGGACAGCCTGACACAAAATTGAATTATTTCAAATTATTGTTCATTAAAATGAAATTTCCATAAGAATCGATAACTTAACACACATTATATGAAACTTCCTTTAGTCATACATTCTTGTAACATTAATATCAAACTCTAACAATGCCTTAACCCGTAGAGACTAAACTGTACACAGAGATTACAGATACACTTTTCACATTGGGCATAAAAAGCCATTGACTTTTTTTTAGGGGTCAGAATTTCTCAACTTTTCTATCACTTCACATTGTGAGGATATAAAGAATAATCGTGGATCCATTCGAGCAACTATTTGAAGTTAAGTCCAATACTCAAAGATTAATCGCGGGCTGCATAAATTCATTAAGTGAGCCGTATGTTGGCTATCCCTGATGTAGTGTACCCACTTTTAGTGGGTACACTACATCAGGGTATATCAGGGTACATCAGGCATAGCCCACAGGGACATCAGGGACACCCACTTTCAGTGGGTACACTACACCCAATTAAATTAGCTTCAGCTTTTTATTTCTTTTTGCAAATCGGCTCAATACTTTTTGGCTGTAATTTTCTGGGGGCATCAGGTTAACTGGGGGAATGTGCACACTCATGCCCCTTCCTGGCTATGCCCATGAGTGCCGTAGATCAGTGTTCCACAAGCTTTTTCTATTCGCGGCACACCCATGACTTGACATGTCTCAACACGGCACACCAAAATGTCATTCCCATCAAAAGCGTATGATATGATACTATTAATAGAATTACGTAATGCCACTAATCTATTATTATTATTAAACAAACATCAACACCCGTGAGCAAATTTATTTTACATTTAATTTCTTAAAATACATAAAAATGCATGGCTTGTAATAAAGAATAAACGAACATCATCTTATTTCTCATATTTCAAGTGTTATCTCATAAGTGCTGTGGCACTTATGAGATAACACTTGAAATATGTTATCTCATATGTATTTGAAGTGTAATACAAGCATACGAAATACAAGCATGAGAACTGTGATAAAAATATATAAATAAAGCTTGAAATTAATAGAATATGTAAAAGTTCACGTCACACCTTACACCTTGTGACGGCACACCGGTTGCGGAACACTGCCGTAGATCATGGATATCATCCAAATCTCAAAAATTCTGACCATTTCCAAATCCAGTGCACTGACAACAATAATGCCAAATGTCCAAAATATAAAGTGGTCCATCTTAACCATGACGTATACAATCTTTACAAACAGTTTGCTAAGCAAAGGGATATTAATCTGGTGCACAAATGGAATCCTACTATTTATTCACTATTAAGGAATTTGAAAAATCCAATAAATTACAATTCACTTCTGGGGAGAATCTACTCCGTCTTCCTTAAGGATAAATGGTTTAACAAAACCCTAGTTTACGTCAATAGCCACTAAAAGATTGTTGGAGAAATGAATTAAGAAGCATAGGCCCTTTTTTAACAGATTATATATCTTCCACCACCCTGAGTTCTTATGCAAGTGAAAACTGTATCGAGGTAGATTATGACTAAACTTGTGTAATACATACCAGCTGCAATTGGTCCAACTTAAAACATCTAGAAAGATTGTAATTTTCAAGGCATCATTTAAAGACACGGCAATTAACTATAGGGAGGCAGAAACTTTCTCCCATACATGGAGATCTTTATTTCGTCACCCCATAAACCTAATTTGACACCACTGATCATGCATCAGAGTCAACCAGTAACATCTCACTTCTTTTAGTTTTTCAAACTCTGTGCTATATTTGAACATTGTTTTGAACTGTCTTCTATCTTCCTAATTACTTTTCAACCAGAAGATGACAACTTAAGTTTGTCAAATATGTTCTTTTTTATTATATCAATATTATGCCGCTGGATTTTCTGGTTTGGCAAGTGTTTTTTTATAATATTAACCCAGTTCTCTGTCATTACTACATATTCGTTAGTTGTAATTATTAGTGTTTTACTTGTAATATTGTTTCTCTACTCTCAAACACTCTCTTCACAATTGTCATTTTATTTTTATTATGATCATAAACATTAATACAGAGTGGCATATATGTATGTCCTGATGGAAAAATAATGTAATTTTTGAACAGTTTGTTAGAAGCAACTTACATTTGAGACTTTCATACGAAATTAGTTGGCACTGAAGTAGTGTTTGACAATCTCAAACAAATGTGTCAAATATGCAAAACAATAATGCATCCAGCTTTTTCTGGTGCATCCATACTATGGATGCACCAGAAAAAGCTGGATGCATTATCAAATTGTTTTCTGTATAAGCCCAGATTTAAACTCCCCTATACTTTGCTATAAGAGGAGCAACTAAAAATAATTAGTTTCTGTAATAAACAGCCTATAGATTTTTCAGGAGTGCATCAGGGATTCAACAAGAAAAATTTCAGCAGTGGTCAGACACCAATTTTATGAATGCCTACAGAATTTGCTTGTGTCTGAAGGGAAATATTTTGAAAATTATATTTCGCAGTCCATTTCTTCTTAATTGTATTGTAGTTTTTCTTTGTTTTAAACAATAACCATTTGCTCATCCTGTGTCGAGCACTGGCAACCTTGTACCATACATAACGTGATGTGAGAACAAAACAAGGCAATCTTTTGTAAAATAAATAAATTCTATTTATCTTTATAAATAAATTTATCTTTCTGGGCAATGTTTAACACACACAACTAACAAATTGCATTTGATTTTAATTGAATTCTATTATTACTTTTGAATTTATTTTTCTGCCAAGATATACATATATGTCATCCTGTAACAAAAAAGTAAAATCAGATATTTAAACTATCTTAATTATAATACATACTATAATCTGGGAACTTGAATAAGCCATCTAACATTATCTGAATAAACATTGTATGTTACTGCCCATTTGGCAAGATTATCCCATTCATCCTTTCTTCTACCATAGACAGAAAGACGCAATTCTGCATTTTGGTATTTACTTTCCTCCAGATCACTCATAACTTCCTAAACAAATAAAAAAAATTAATCATCAAAGCACATATCAACATAAAATGACAAAACTTTCAGGTTGTATAATTAATAGCATTATTATGCATTTTAAACCTAAGTACATAAAATTCCTTAACTTAGTGTTGCAATCACTCAAATCTTAAATAGTTTAATATCTTTAAATTTTTTAATCACAATCATGAATTCAATTAACTTGGCAAATAACCCATATATGCTTTAAAGTTAAATTTAACAGGTAACCCATAGGTTATTTGCAATTTATAATAATACTTTTCTTTGTCTTCAAGCTTATTTTATTAGAATTCAGATACAAAACATTACAAAACTTAATTTTAAAAAATTTTAAATTACAAATTAAAGTTGACACTTTTGCACTTAAAACCAAAAAAAAAAAAGATGGTTTCAAATATATATAATGATTATTATTTAATAATGACAAAACAATTTCAAATAATTTACAGAAGCTAGAGACAAAAGTGTCAATCAGTAAATAAACAAAATAACATCAGTTTTCATTAATTATTTAATTACAAATTTGCTCCTACTTTAAATACTTTAACAAGGCCTTATATATCAAGACCAGCCTCAATATAGAAGTGTAAGGTTTGTGCAATTGTGCTGTGTGCAATTGTCAGGACGATCGAGGGGTCGAGACAATCGTGCGTGGTCATGGTGTACACAATGACCATTCACTTTTTCCATTTTTAATAAAATATAAAAATATTCTTATTGTTACAATTCTCCTTTGATATTTCTTTTTGAGAAGAGAGTCCAATAAAAGTCTGAATGCTATGTTTAATGTCTACACTCAGTCCCTTGTTGATGGTGTGAGACTAATCGGGGGTAGGATGTTTACGAGTTCTTGTTCTTCCCAAGTTCGTAATTCAGTCCAAAGTTCAAAGTCAAAGTTCAAAGTCTATTGAAGACAGTGGCAACAAGAGGCAGGTAATCCACGGACACACTCACAGTATAGAAAAATAACTTTTCTCTGTGTCATCATCGCACTTGCCTTTTATATGGGGGCTCTGTTCTCGAGATTTCCCCATGTACGTCACAGGTGATGATCATCTTTGACCAATAGTGGGCGAAGTGACAAAATTACGACACAATGGTTAACTCATCTTCTACAAGGAAGTATCCTCGTGGGAACATAGTTTTATGAGCGATTTTTATGAGAAAATTTGTTGGTTGTTTTTCTCTTTTTGAGTTAACCCTAACTTTTATAAAATCATTTTGGTTTCGAAACAAAACAGTAGATGAGAATGAATAAAAATATTTCAAATTTTAAATCCGGGCCCTCACAATGGTCTTCTGCAAGATCAATGGCCTTGAGGCATGCTGGTAAGTTTGGATCTAACAGCTTGAAAGAGAGCAACTCAAGGAAAATGAACAGATCTGGGAAGCATAACAATGGATCTTAGAGGAAGAACAAATTTTAGAGCAAAGAATGTTGTGTCCTTGAAACACAAATTTTAAAAAGATTTCTCTTTTCTATCCCATGTACAGTACCAATTGGTCTTTTCTCATCTCCTGGTAACAATTCGAAACCTTTTGGGGCATGGGAGAGGTCATCATCAACACTTATCCCAATTGGCTAAAATTCCTCTGAATTTTCAAATTCTTCCTTGTAATTCCAGCCTTTTGTTTTCCTTTTTAACAGAAGGAACTTTTGTTTTAGCCAGACTAAGTCTCACTTTGTTTTAATTTTGAAAGGTGAGAGTTTAACTGTCCAGCTGGATGTTCGTTATCTTTAAGACAAAGTTTTGAGTTCAGTGCAGGGCCTCACAAAGTCTATTATCAAACACGAATGCTGCATTTTACAGATTCAGAATTTTGAGAGCTACAATTAGACACAATTTATAAGATCATATAAAATAAATCAATAAATTTTGATATTGATAAGTAAATACAGTAGAATCTCGTTAACAAGATTTTAAAGGAAACACTGGGGAAAAAAAAAACAATAATAATAATTCTTAGGCAGGAAAACTTTTTATGCAGAAATTGTAAAAAAAAATAATCTCTGTATATTCAATTTTTCTCAATATCAAGGTAATATAACATAGCACAGTGTAACAGTAGAATAGTAAGATGCACGAACTATAGCAGGTGCTTAAGTGTCACGTCGATAGGACATATCAACAGTTAACAAATGCACCGGATAGAGGTATGGTCAAAACAATAAGACCCCAGAAAAATTAGCAACCACCTCGGGTGTTCAAGTGTTTGATATGCAATATATTGAACATCTAGAGTTACTTTACTAAAACTTTACTATTTTCCTAAGTGATAAATTTATGGCAAGGAAAAATGTTATGATTTGTCTCCAAAAGAAACGCCATCTAACATTATCTGAATAAACATTGTATGTTACTGCCCATTTGGCAAGATTATCCCATTCATCCTTTCTTCTACCATAGACAGAAAGACGCAATTCTGCATTTTGGTATTTACTTTCCTCCAGATCACTCATAACTTCCTAAACAAATAAAAAAATTAAATCATCAAAGCACATATCAACATAAAATGACAAAACTTTCAGGTTGTATAATTAATAGCATTATTATGCATTTTACACCTAAGTACATAAAATTCCTTAACTTAGTGTTGCAATCACTCAAATCTTAAATAGTTTAATATCTTTAAATTTTTTAATCACAATCATGAATTCAATTAACTTGGCAAATAACCCATATATGCTTTAAAGTTAAATTTAACAGGTAACCCATAGGTTATTTGCAATTTATAATAATACTTTTCTTTGTCTTCAAGCTTATTTTATTAGAATTCAGATACAAAACATTACAAAACTTAATTTTAAAAAATTTTAAATTACAAATTAAAGTTGACACTTTTGCACTTATAACCTATATAAAAAAAGATGGTTTCAAATATATATAATGATTATTATTTAATAATGACAAAACAATTTCAAATAATTTACAGAAGCTAGAGACAAAAGTGTCAATCAGTAAATAAACAAAATAACATCAGTTTTCATTAATTATTTAATTACAAATTTGCTCCTACTTTAAATACTTTAACAAGGCCTTATATATCAAGACCAGCCTCAATATAGAAGTGTAAGGTTTGTGCAATTGTGCTGTGTGCAATTGTCAGGACGATCGAGGGGTCGAGACAATCGTGCGTGGTCATGGTGTACACAATGACCATTCACTTTTTCCATTTTTAATAAAATATAAAAATATTCTTATTGTTACAATTCTCCTTTGATATTTCTTTTTGAGAAGAGAGTCCAATAAAAGTCTGAATGCTATGTTTAATGTCTACACTCAGTCCCTTGTTGATGGTGTGAGACTAATCGGGGGTAGGATGTTTACGAGTTCTTGTTCTTCCCAAGTTCGTAATTCAGTCCAAAGTTCAAAGTCAAAGTTCAAAGTCTATTGAAGACAGTGGCAACAAGAGGCAGGTAATCCACGGACACACTCACAGTATAGAAAAATAACTTTTCTCTGTGTCATCATCGCACTTGCCTTTTATATGGGGGCTCTGTTCTCGAGATTTCCCCATGTACGTCACAGGTGATGATCATCTTTGACCAATAGTGGGCGAAGTGACAAAATTACGACACAATGGTTAACTCATCTTCTACAAGGAAGTATCCTCGTGGGAACATAGTTTTATGAGCGATTTTTATGAGAAAATTTGTTGGTTGTTTTTCTCTTTTTGAGTTAACCCTAACTTTTATAAAATCATTTTGGTTTCGAAACAAAACAGTAGATGAGAATGAATAAAAATATTTCAAATTTTAAATCCGGGCCCTCACAATGGTCTTCTGCAAGATCAATGGCCTTGAGGCATGCTGGTAAGTTTGGATCTAACAGCTTGAAAGAGAGCAACTCAAGGAAAATGAACAGATCTGGGAAGCATAACAATGGATCTTAGAGGAAGAACAAATTTTAGAGCAAAGAATGTTGTGTCCTTGAAACACAAATTTTAAAAAGATTTCTCTTTTCTATCCCATGTACAGTACCAATTGGTCTTTTCTCATCTCCTGGTAACAATTCGAAACCTTTTGGGGCATGGGAGAGGTCATCATCAACACTTATCCCAATTGGCTAAAATTCCTCTGAATTTTCAAATTCTTCCTTGTAATTCCAGCCTTTTGTTTTCCTTTTTAACAGAAGGAACTTTTGTTTTAGCCAGACTAAGTCTCACTTTGTTTTAATTTTGAAAGGTGAGAGTTTAACTGTCCAGCTGGATGTTCGTTATCTTTAAGACAAAGTTTTGAGTTCAGTGCAGGGCCTCACAAAGTCTATTATCAAACACGAATGCTGCATTTTACAGATTCAGAATTTTGAGAGCTACAATTAGACACAATTTATAAGATCATATAAAATAAATCAATAAATTTTGATATTGATAAGTAAATACAGTAGAATCTCGTTAACAAGATTTTAAAGGAAACACTGGGGAAAAAAAAAACAATAATAATAATTCTTAGGCAGGAAAACTTTTTATGCAGAAATTGTAAAAAAAAATAATCTCTGTATATTCAATTTTTCTCAATATCAAGGTAATATAACATAGCACAGTGTAACAGTAGAATAGTAAGATGCACGAACTATAGCAGGTGCTTAAGTGTCACGTCGATAGGACATATCAACAGTTAACAAATGCACCGGATAGAGGTATGGTCAAAACAATAAGACCCCAGAAAAATTAGCAACCACCTCGGGTGTTCAAGTGTTTGATATGCAATATATTGAACATCTAGAGTTACTTTACTAAAACTTTACTATTTTCCTAAGTGATAAATTTATGGCAAGGAAAAATGTTATGATTTGTCTCCAAAAGAAACGCCATCTAACATTATCTGAATAAACATTGTATGTTACTGCCCATTTGGCAAGATTATCCCATTCATCCTTTCTTCTACCATAGACAGAAAGACGCAATTCTGCATTTTGGTATTTACTTTCCTCCAGATCACTCATAACTTCCTAAACAAATAAAAAAATTAAATCATCAAAGCACATATCAACATAAAATGACAAAACTTTCAGGTTGTATAATTAATAGCATTATTATGCATTTTACACCTAAGTACATAAAATTCCTTAACTTAGTGTTGCAATCACTCAAATCTTAAATAGTTTAATATCTT